AACTGTAAGAGGTACCCAATTTGTCTTTCTCATTTACACTCGTCTCTTCAAATAACAAACCGCCCTACGCCAGTTCGTGATTAATTAGAGAACAATGTGAACACACTGCCCCTTCACTTGTTCATGCGACCAAGCTGATAGCCGCCCACTCGATTGGGTCAGTTAGTAATCAAACCGACCACTGATCAACTGGCTCAGTGTAAATCTCTAACTACATGGAGTTGTTGTATTTAGAACTTGACTACTTCGTCGTCCAATTAAATACTGTAACGCTTCTACAGGAACGTTATCACAAGCCTGACCTTGAAAAGCCATTTGATGGAAACCTTAGTGCAACGGTCTAGTTTAGTTAAAAATTACTTTATAAAAGCACTGTAGCTATGAAAAGAGTTAAACATGAGGGGTTACGCATGCTCAAGGGTGTGAAATCAAATTGAAATTGGCGTCTCAAATTCATCATAAAAAGCGCGGAAAACTAATTGCAATTTGCTATTCGTCCAAAAATTCACGTAATATTTTCATCTTGGCGTTGTAAGAGCATTTTATGAACAAGTGAAGGTACTCAGTCATAATAATAGCATTGTGTTGACCAAAAATGCAATAAAATCTCCGTGATAGTTTACCGCATGCCTCTTGAGCGAGACGCGTAAAAGTGAAACAAACGTGAAAATGTTGTTTTGAGGCTTATGAATAATATTTACAAACATTATTTGTAGCATTTTAATTCAAATCTGGATTATAAGGTAATGTTAGTAGCCTTCTATTGTTATAGCAGTAGCAATATTGTATCCGCTTTCTGAGTATTTTACTTTTTAGTTCTACAGAAAGCTCGTCATCTTAAAAACACGAAATAATATTCAATTCAGTATCATAACTCTCCAGGAATTCTTTGTTAGGTCAAAGAAGGCGTGCCCTTAAGTTCAATACTAGAACTAACCACCATTACATTGTAAAGGAGTGCATTTGAACTGTTCCTTGTTATGTTCCCCGTCTCTTCACATTAACCTGTGTTTATATATTGGATCGCAATATTAAGTCGAAAAATGTAAGCACTTTAGGGCTACACCTTGCGATTCGAAAATGGCTCCTCTCAAGCAACCACATATTTTTATTTTCGGAATTAAATTTTCCTAATTTGTACCTCAGAGAAAAAAGAATAAAGGGAAAAAATGATGTACCCCTAATGGCATTCAAACCTAAAGTTTCAGTACTAAACTGACATTATACTTTGTTAGTAATTTATGAAGGTTACTTATATCAGCGCATTTTGAGGGAGGGAACTGTCATTGTCCTAAAAATGTTCTTGTTACATCCAGCTGTAGGCTCTCACTTAGCTTCATCACAAGAGTGTAGTTTCAGCCTGACTTTGATGAACGTTAAATTGGTGGACTTTCGTCTTATTTGCGGCTTTTGTTCAGCTCAGTGCTGTTCGTTAAACTAAAATTAGAAATCTGCCACCAAAGGCATTTCATGAAGAATTTTTGGCAATAAAGCCCGGAGAAATTGTTTCATCCCGAACAAATAAACCACAACCGCGTACTGATAAACGGCGGCTTCTCTTTCATCCTGTGGTTGATTTGCACTTGTCAGTCAAACAGGACCAGGTGCAAGGAAAAATAGTATTGAAGCTAAAACCAAGCTGATAAGGCCTGGATTCGATACTCGTTCCACTCCTTCGTTATGGTTAGTCCCAGATATGGCTTCTTGTCCGATGTGATTTGAAAAGTTTAACAATCTTGGGTAGTAACTGTTCCAAAAGGCCATTCTTTGTGGCTCAAAATTAGCCTGTATGTCAGGTCTGCCTTGAATACGTAAATACAGCCTTGTTGTCCTGTTAAACTCGCCCCAGGTCATTCCCTGCACGGCCTGCGGTGTCGGGTTCCCGTACTTAGCAAAGTTCGCATAAAGGGACATTATCAAACTACTTACATTTTGATCTTCTTCTGTGAATGTCAGCGATGAAATGTTCACAAATGGTGCGCCAAAATCGTACGGTGTATTATCACCGTGTTTCACTCCCATCCAAGCATCTTCCGTATCCGCTTTAGACCTGTGACTAAACTCATACATGTAAGTCGGAGCACTCGTGCTGTGGATTCCCAACACCTCCACTGTGGGGGCGGCAACGAAATAGTCTGACTGAATGTTGATGATTTTCTTACGGAGGCTGGGGGAGTCAGAAGCTTCACTCCACGGTGTGTACTGGAACTCGATTGCGTCTTCAATCAGGACAGCGGTTTTTTCATTCTCGTGAACCATTTGGTCTTTGACGAATGACTTGATGGAATCTCTAAAAACAGACGACGTTATTTCTGTGGGAGGGTGGTATACCTCGGGAGTGTTATGTGCACCTTCATCGCTGTTAAAACCACCTATTAGCGGAACATGGTAAAACTGGCCCGATCTGCGGAGATTTTCAGGTGTGTCATATATGAAGTAGTTATCGATGACAGGTCCTGTAGAATTCCAGACATATTTTAGGACAATGCTCTGAGCCTCTTTTTTGCGGAGACAGTTAATCATGTCGTGACTGTTTTCAGAATTGCAACCCAGTTTCATGGCAGTAATTTTTGTTTTTAAAGCAGCTTCTTTAACTGACTGGAAAGCAAACGGCGAGAACTCTACACCGCTCTCAGCTATAGCTTGATGAAAGAGTCCTTTGGACCGAGGGGACAGCAAGTGCAGTCCGACGCTGGCCCCACCAGAGCTCACCCCTAATATGGTAACTTTGTTGGGATCTCCTCCGAAAGCCTTGATATTTTCTTGTATCCACTTAAGAGCTTGCACTTGATCTAATAATCCCCAGTTCCCAGGCGCGGCTGAATCGCCAGTCGTCAGAAAACCAAACGGACCAAGCCGGTATTGAATTGTTACCAAGACAACACCCCAGCGGGGCAGTACTTCACCAGGAGTGGTATGGCGAGCAGTTGTGCCGAACACGTAGCTTCCTCCGTGAATAAACATAATCACTGGATACAGATCACTCGTATTTGTTGCGTTGTTTCCTGGGGCAAAAATATTCAAATACAGGCAATCTTCGCTCGAGTCCTTTTCCCAAGTAAACCCGGGCCAGACAATGCGTATCGAGTCCTCAAAGTAAGAATTTTGTGGTTGTTGGCAAACGTTTCTGAAAAAAGTTGCATTATATATATGGGGTTTCCATGCAGCTGGAGGTTCTGGAGGTCGAAATCGAAGGTGATTAACAGGCGGTGAGGCAAAAGGAATTCCAAGGAACGTGTTGACGTACCTTATATCGCCGTTTAATTGTTCGGGAAAGTGCCGCGTTCTTCCTAGAATCTTGCCATACTTGGTCTCAACGAGTAGTGTATCAGAAGAGATTGTAATGCCCAGAAGGACACACTCTAGCACAATCAGCGCCACAATCGACAATCTTTTCACTTGCATAATCCCAACCATCCAAAAACACCTCAAATTACTCTCTGGCAAGCATGAATATCTCTGATACGTAACGACAACGCCAAGATTTCGATCCACTGAGAAATGCAACGCAATCACCAGAACACCTTTTATGGCTGCAATTTCCGCCACGAACAAATTTTTGGTTCTATTTAAATGTTACGTCTCAGGGCGACTTTGCGTGTGACCACAAGCGAATATAATTTCACCCTCTAGAGCTCGGAAATAATTTTCTGTCATGAGTCATTACTGTGACAGCCACTCGTGAAGCGACCCCTTAGGCAACACTCTTCAGCTTTTTGTGATTTTCGGCGTGCTCAAGGTGATAACATCTTTATGGTTTCCCGCGAAAACGTCAGCTGATTGACTACCATCAGAAACGATATTTACTTTCAAAAGATGGACAACAACGAGAAGGAAATTGGCTATGTGATCAGTACTCTTGCAAGAAACTGTTGTTATTTGAATCATTATTTGAAAAATGTACTAAACAACAAAGGCAAAGAGTTGATTGTCCTTAACCCTTCCATTTTGTAAAAAAAACATCCAACTCACGAAATTGTACACCCTTGGTATTTAGATGACCTTTTCAGATTTTAATCGTTAAGATGAAAAAACGGATGTTGGATAAAAAAAAATCTAAATCTCGGCACTGCGGGAGGCTACACTTTTATCGTAGTTTTAGTTTCACGCTACCAACTCGCTTTGAGGAATGCATAATTGTATTAAATGCTTCAAAAACCATTACAAAGGTTGTCTCTAGCCAATAAATCGATGTCAAAATTTGACAGGGATCCATTGCCTGGGAAATCTCAAAAAACGTCTATCGTCTATCCTGAATGAATTGATGAATGTTTTGCGTGAAGCATGTGCTCTGCCGTACGTGCGAGTGTCATTGCAATTGGTTATTTGTTCTTTAATTGAGTTAAGACTTGCGGTGCCCAACAAATTAAAATACAATCAAAAGCGGTGCAAAAAGCAAGCCCCTTTCAGCAACAACTCTCTGATCCCATGGTAGATATAGGGAGTGTTGGAAGATGTAAAACTAAACGACATCTGCAAAAATAAAGTCGACCTATGACACACTGATTTTAACAATTATCTGCAATGAACTGAAGTGGCAGTTCACATCACGGAATGACTCGACTCAAAACACCTGAGGTTCACTGGTTCTTGGCTAAAAAAAAATTTTTTTTTCATT